CAAAAATGAGAGCGAGGTTCTGTTTATTGTTGATGTCTTTGTCTGTATGTAAGTGCCGTCGGTTCGAAAATTCTCATGGTTTGCAACTTCATAAATTTCCTTTGACTTTGTGGGCCGCTGCTGCAAAAAGAAGCGTTGTGCAAGTAATTTGATTTTGATAACGAAGATGCATTTGATTGAATCGAACTTTGATAATTGACAAATATTTTTGAGGGCATGATTGCTTCGATATGTGAATGGACACATTTCGCTTAATGTGCGTATTTTTAGGACAAAGAATGCGATGCTTTTTGTTTTGTTGGAGAATTAAGACATTTTTTCCGCGGATTTTACCTTTTGAAAATTTCCTTTTACATGTTTCCTTGAGCATGGTGTAGAAGTTTTTATCCCATCCACCTGCCCTGCATGTGCATGTGTGGGGATGGAAACAGCTAGCATCCACCTTGCAGGATCCTCATGCTGAGATTTCATGCTGGATACGCATGGGTATGAACAAACTCTTGATGTGTTTTTTCAGCTGCTCTATTGCGGGAAACTTTCAACGTTGACATACCTTTGCATATGTGGCCATTTGGTTGCTTGACGACCTCCGGTACGGTGGCTTACTTTCGAATCCAGTTCACACCCCTCGCTCATCGCCTTTAAAAAAAGGGGGTGCGTTTTGCAGCGAGCATTGTTGAGTCCAGTTGTGAGTAAGCTTCATGTGCACTCATGTTTGGAAGCGCATGTCCGTTGAAAAACAGAACCAAGTAAAGAAGTCTAAACCATTGTGAGATTATAAATGTGGTGAGAACCGAGAAAACAAGCAAACAAGACAGTTTAAAACTTCAAACTTGCCAGCTTGCCTGCTTTGCTCGTTCAATACACCTGATAATACGCCATTCGCATCTTTGCTGAAGTGCATTTGGTCGCCTAGCTGAATCTCGCACCCGATGTGAACATCTTGTTGCGAGATGGGAATGAGGGGTTTTGCCAAACTTTGGAATTGATGTCCCTGTTCACATCCCTTCAAAGGTCCGCTCATGTTGAAGTGGACCGTGTGTCACACCAGTACAGGTCGTAGCACTAGAACAAAGAAAACAAGGCGCTGCGAAAGCGCAATCATTCAGAGCATGCAGACAGCATGGACCAAGCCGAGCCATGGCCTCCAGCAAAGCTGGCAGACACGCTTGGCAGCGATGATTGGCAAGTTTCGATGGCAAAGGCAGGGGTGCCACGGCGTTGCCAAAATCGCTTCGACGTCCAAGATACATGCAGGGACACCGGCAACTCTCCGCATTTTCGTATTTGTGGCCATGGCTGGTGCGATGAGTACTCTGTTGGGAGCGGGTACTGTCAAGTGCATCCTCCCGATGGTAGCACCTTCTTCGAAGTCGGCAGTGGCTCCAGCAACCCCCTGATTGTGGTGTCATCACATTGCGCAGCGAAGCGATCGAGCCTCTGTTGTACGTCGATGCTTCGACATGTCGACCTTGACAGCGAGAGTCGATTTGAGATGACTGAGGTGCCAACTCCTCTCAGCTCTTCCTCTGCCCACTGCGGGCCCCCATCGCAGTCGCCCTGATGTTGAAAGCCGGTAGCAGCTCGGTCGGCGCTTGGCTCCATGCCCTGGACTCTTCCGGCTCCTCAGGCCCAAGCCGGCCCGCGGAGTTCTCGCGCCGGCTTTTCGCTGCTTTCAGGGACAGCGAGCTGACAGTCTCCGGGAAGTTCCTTTCCTGGATCTTTGGCCCAGAGGGGCTTGGGGTGTCGGTGTGCCTTGCATGCAAGCCGATCATTGCACAGGATTTTCGCGAGAATCTGTCACTGAATTTTGCAGTGAGGACCTCCAGGCTGCATCCTTTGGCACGACGGGCATTGGTGAAGCGCTTCTTCTTTGAGACGAGGCCACAGAAAACCGCGTCCAAATTGTTGTTGCCACCGGGATGGTGCATGCCATGCTGTGCCGCGGGTTCAGGACGCTTGCCGGTCATGTTGGTCCGTAGTCCGTACCGGCGTGTCCATTCGTACTTTCGGCATAAGTGGCTGGCGAATCCGAGCAAGGAGCCACTTACGGGATGGAAGGATCTTCCAGAGTTTGTCAGGAAGTTGGCGGAGCATCGCACTTTGAACCGGTCCTTGCCGCCTCTCGTCACTGAGCAGGACCTCTATCACACCCTGTCATTTCACGAAATCCTGCGAGACATCCGCTGGTCTGCCGCCGCTCGCGAGGCAATGCGATTGAGGCGAGGCCTGAGAACGGGCTTGACATAAGCTTGGTGACACATTTGCTCTCGGAAGCTCTCACTGGGTTCATGCCGATGCCTTTGAGGATGTGCGTTCTGCGCCTGGAAGTGCTTCACATGGACTTCCTCCATCTGCACGCAGTGCTCTGCCGTTGGTTTCGCTTCTGCGAGCGCTTGCCGGCCATCCCAGAGATTATTCCGACTGGGTTGCGACCGCAACGTGGGCACGAAGAGATCACGCTATCTAGTCTAGATTTGATGGAGCGAGTATTACGGTTGACTGTAGCAGCATGCAAGGTACCTAGCGGTTCCTTCGCCTCCGTGGGAGACGCTCTGGACGAAGGAGCAAGCAGCTTCCGTCTTCTGGTTTTAGTTTTCTTCTTGATGATTGTAGGTGTTGTAAATGACAGATGTATTTCTTTGGGCACTGCTGCGGGCTCTTGCAGATGCACCCGGGACCGTGCAGGATGCAGTGCAGAACATGCTCCAATTGTTTGCCTCGGACTTCGAAGAGCTCGGCTACTCCGTCGATCCGCTGCAGAAGGCACCTGAACGTCGAGCTCCCTGCTGGATGCGAGCCTAGTCGCAGAACATGCCTTGCCTCGGGGGAGTGCATCTTTCCCAGGAGGAAAAAACTTGCGATCCTCTTGCGATAGAGAGATCTGCTGTATCGAACCTCGCTCATCTCTTGCATCGGCCTGCCGTTTTCAGCCTCGAATACTCGCTTTAGCAGCAATTCTTTCGTCAACTTTTCCGTGACCTTTCGTCATGGGGTGCCTTCAGCTGCCATTGGGTGGGGAAGTTCTGCGTTCAAAGTTGCTGTCTCTGTTTTGCTCCTTTCCCCGGAAACCCATCTCATGCCGTGAACCAAGGGGTGCTGCTTCCAGCGAAGTGAAGAACGCCATCGAGGGGAAATCGGCCGACGAGATCGCTGCGGCTCTGAAGGCATGGCATTTTTTTGGGTCGATTCTCGCTGACCAAAGCGCGCACAGGAGCTCCCAGCAGACCAGCTCGCAAAGGTCAAAGAGGCGGTGGGCAAAGGCGCGAAAGGGGCCCGTGACTCCTCCAAAGCAATCCGTAGCGAATTCGGCCCCATGTTCTTCGAGAGCTCAGAGTGCCGAGCCGACACCCATTTGATGGTGTATTTGCAGGTCCTGCGGCAGGCCAACTGGTGGGATCTTGCGCTTTTGTTCGTTCTTATCCTTGCAGTCTGGGCTGCTCAAGAATCCTGATGTGAGCTAGTGGGCATGTTCCAATCAGACAGTCGGAGTCAAGAGACGAATTAGGGGAACCCTCGCGCCCTGCTGGACTTTAGAAGACAGCCTGTCCTCTGCCAGCTGCCTGCCCTGGACCGGTTGATTGCTCCAAGATCACCGTGGTGGGAAAGGCGCCGAGCTCGGGGGCACAAGCGGGACGAAGCCACGTCTGGAGGGTTTCAAAGAGCCTTGGGTTTAGGCTGCTGTGTGAAGGACTACAAGGGTCTGCTGGAGCAGCCTGCCGAGCCGAAGTTCAAGGCTGGCGATGGATGTTTCAGATTCTAGATAGAGGCCTTCGTGGGCCGGTGCAATGTCTCTGCGATGGGCACAGCAAGCTCTTCCTGCTCAGGGTGCCCTGGCTCAGATTTTCGTCCGATCGCAGCCTTATGGAGGCTGTGAGTTGGGAAATTTCTGTCTGGTTTCAAGCCGCATGCGAGCAGCATGCTGTTTCGCCACATGCTCGTGCAGTATAATGGTTACGGAACCGGAGGTCTCCGGTGATCGCGTATTTTAACCAGTGAGGAAGCTCGTTCGCCATGCTAAGTTCGAGACCATCTGAGTGCTTCCCGCAGGATCTGACAAGAGCAACAACGGCCGATTCCTCAGTGCACGCCGGCTCCGGCATGCCATCTTTTGCCATAGCATGCCTAAGCTCCGAAGAAAGCTCCAGCCTTCTGCTTGCACCCCTGCAGGCCATCGCTACGACTCCATTCCTTTCGCCAATGGCATGATCACTTCCGG